AAAAAATTCTTTTTCTTTTTTTTTTTGTTCAGCCCGACTCCCACGGCCACCCGACAAACAAAAACAAACTGCACCCGTGCATGGAAATAGTATACAATAGTCTAACCACCTATACAAATACAAATACAGTCATGACGACCTGCACAGACCACTCCTACGAACACAAGGCCTCGTCTCAAGCACTACAGACTACTCCTACTAACACAAGGCCTCGTCTCAAGCACTAAATATACTGTACACTACTACGAATGAGAGGATGAAAGAAGACTAACAGTGGAACTGTGCATCATCGTCGACTACAATGTCCTTCCTCCTCCTCTGCGGCACCACACCTGTCACACCATCCCCATGACCTGTGCCGCCTGCCGGCGCGTGCGTAGTATCCGGAGCATGAATCTTCCCTTGTGGCGCCACCTCAACCCCTCCCTGTGGTCGAAGAAGATCGTACACGGAAACCCTCCTCCGCTGGCCATAAGGTATCTCCAAATCGTCTGTGCCAGACTCCCAAACGACTGGCGCATGTGACGGTCGCTGCGCTGTCGCTGCCCTCACATCCTCCCGCAATATACGTGCAGCCATGCTCCTCCTTGGGGGCGCACTGTGCTCGGCGTGGTCGCCGGTGCCCGCTGTACGCCCTACAGTATGTGGCAACGTCGCCTCAGCAGGTGCGCTCATGGGCTGATCCGTCGCTCGGTCGGAGACCCTCTCCTGCCATCCTGCTGCGTCTGCGACAACGTCCCCGCTCAAAATCGCCCGTGTCCGCGGATGTAAACTGGCCAACCGAGGCTGACTCGCCCGCATCGTCTGCGTCACTCTCCTCGAGGTCGATCCTGTCGCCCGCTCCTGCACAGGTCGACACTCCCCATCATCCCCAGCTGCACGCTTGTGTTGCCCCGACCGACCCGGTGCCCCCTCTGCTGCCTCTTGCAACATGCTACTACTGATGTCGCCTGTGCTGCATGAAGGTATGTCACGAAGTATCTGACTGACGGGCGTGGCCGCTGCGTCCACACCGACACCGACACGCTCCCTGCCGGTGTCGGAGGATGCCCTAACGAAACATCAAAAATGTTGTCGCTGAAACTGACACCCACCTGTGCAGATGGCCTCCCAACCTCTCCATCATCGCCACTACCACCCGCAAACCCGCCTGGACCCTCCGCAGATGCCGCAGCGAACTCTGCAGGGGAGGGAGCAACCTCCATAGGGGAGGGAGCAACCACAGCTGTGTCTACAAGTTGATCACTCTTGGAGAGGACTACGGAAGAAATCCGTAAGGAACTGCAAATTTTGTTACCATTGGATAACAGGTCGGTAGAACTCCGACTCAACTTCCATATGGCTTGATACCCACACCTAAGACAAAACCTGAAAAGAAAACGGATAGATCTTCCCCCTGTATCTATGCCTAAATTGTCAAAATCACACTTGAAGGTCTTTGAAAATGTGAAGGGCTGGGGTAAAAAAGAGTCAGGATTAGGAAGGAATGATGTTTTCAAGGTTTTGGGCGTGAGGGACTTGCTATGAATGGGTTAAAGGTTGACGCTTGTAGCGCATTCTGTGTCTGCATCTATATGCGTGTATGTGATTTCTTGCATCTGCACAGGTGTTGGGCATTTGACTGTGTTCTGAATTTGGGATCGTCTAAGATATTCGGACACAAGAAACCGCAATTGTGAAAGTGAGGTCTACCGTTCATTCAACTCCCCCTCACTTACATACATACTTATTTATACATCTATGAAATGAGATCGCAAAGCTGGTCGGAGCTTAGGAAGTCATTTGTCTGGTATTCTTTTGAGAATGGGAGATCACAAAAGGGCTTGACTCTGGCTTTTCTCATAAGGTCAACAGAGGAGACATAGAGTCATTGTCCTAGTTAACTAAGCGTGGAAGACTGTCCGGAAAGGTCGACCTGATTAAATAGTCGGTTCGGGGAAGTTAGCACTTCGGGGCATGATATACAGGTCAGTCTTAAGGCGTTCTACCGCGCGTATGCCTATGTTACGGCGATCGAGAAAACGCCCTCGACTGACTTACCTCTGCGATTACATATAAAAACCTTCGCATGTGGGTCAGTAGCTCAACAGGGATACGTCCACCTAAGGGATGGTGACAGCTCCCGCAGGTGGCGGTGTGTTGTACCTCGCGGGATCCCTAACTTGTCGTAGGGAGTCGCGAGATGTATAGCACGCGTGCACGGTCGGAGTGGTGTTTTGTTCAAGTTAGGGTGACAAAAAGACTCCTGCGTGACACGATCGTGAGGTCCGACACAAAATTTTCTTTGCGTCTGGGTGTGGGACCGCCGCGCGCGACAGGTAGCGCCGTTGCTGGGGATCTCGCTTCTAGCCGAGGTCCTTAGTGAACGAACTCGGGTAAGGCAAGTCGATGATCCTGACAGAACAACAAATTTTAGGTTAGATTTGACTAAGATTCGGAGTTAAATACGATAACGTGGGGATACAAACAAAGCAAAGTAGCTGGTGACTAAAGGCTGCAACAGACAAGGCGGTACGTAAAACATAGGATAACTAATACAGAGATAAAAACGCCCTGTCCGTACTTAAGGCCGATGATATGGCACCTAAGGGTCGTGGGACCGGTGCTGGTAGAGGAAGGGGCGACAGACAGGGGAAGGCATCCGATAGGCCTATAGACTTGACCAGAGAATGAGAGGAATGAAAGGAGGAAGATGAGGGGTTAGAAGAGAGGGAGGAAGGATTGAGAGCAAGAGGGCACCAAGAGGACTGGCGTGAGCGTACCCCTAGCCCTGGGAATGGCTTATTATTTTAATATAGGTACGCGAGGCGTTACGGAGCGTCTCCCCACGCTTCGAGCCGCATAGCCGCCCGCATCTTAGCCCTTACCAGCCGTCTACCTTTTTGGCTCAAGAACGGCAGTTGACCGTCCTTCCCCAACCTCACCAACAAGGACCCCACACGATACCTCACGTTCCTGACCCTCCTGTTGTGTCTCAGTCAGTATCTCCTGATAGGAGGCTGTGTATCTCAATCATGATGTTTCTATTGTGTCAAATAGAGATCTGTGGTTGGTATCTTACTTATTGTCTAAAAAGATTATATGAGGGTCGAGAGGGTTGGATGGGGTGACAAAATAAAAGGGGGGACTAGTTAATCCTGAGCTTGAAAGCTGCCAGCTAAATGAAGGGAAAGTGGGCAGGATTGTGTTGTATAATGAATAGGTGGAGTATACCAACAAGAACAGGATGGTTTCTGCCCGGTATCAAGTCGAGGTCAGAGAGCCCATACGAATGAGGAATGACCTAATGATGAATTTACCAACTCGTCATGAGGAGAATGAGGAAACGGGGCATTGTTGGGGAAAGTCTATGGAGGAACAAACTTTCATCTGGATTGAGTCTGGATGGGTTCGAGGTGAAAGTTGTGCGGTAGAAAGGGTTACCCTATGTCTCTCATCAGAATACTTGTAGGCTGTCATAATAAATTTAGTCTGAGGAATAGATCGCCACTTTCTAGACTATTATCGATTGCAGAGTCCGCGCTCGATACTCGAAGCCGAGACGCAAGTCTGAATGGGTTTGAAAGAGTTATAGGAACTGTGAGTGTAAGGAGGGTTTGTGAATTCCTTCCGCCAGCTGCATACCTGAGAGGGACCCTTCCCATGTTGATCGTGAATGAAGCCTTCAGAGGGAGGTCGCAAGTAGAGAGGGCGGCAGAAGCCACAATGGCAATACCAGAAGGAGAATATCATGAGTCTACCCCTCTGTTGGTATACTACTTATACCTAGAGATAAAACATCTGATTGAAGGAAGAGCGTCGCTAAATATATTACCGCGAATCGACTCATATGCTCACCGATACGATTTGGCAAATAGGCATAACTACTGGGATGAACTGAAGCAGGGGCTCCTTGTTCAAATGCAATAAGCAAAAGGGATACTCAAGAAAACTGAGAATACAAATTTGGTAGGATATGAGAAACAAAGTATGTCAAGGGAGATTAGACATTTTACTAAAAAGATAAAGGTTCTTTCCTTGCATGTTGTGTAAAGCAGGGTACCAGATGACTTCTGTGATGTGGTTCGCTGATCGGAACTTCTTGATCAACTTACCCAAGCAAAAGGACGGAGGGGTTGAAATGACGTTACCTAGAAGGAAGATGAAGGAAGAAGATGAGATGGACCCGTGGTGTGGAATACCAGTAGGGCCTGAAGCTTTCCTATGGGTAGAGACTGGATGGACCACGAGAGAAAGACATGCGGTAGTAAAAGTGACTCTTTACCTATCAGCCCTTCTCTGGAGGGCACACGTAATTGACCTTGTGATAGGAGAGAGTCGCCCCGTTTCCAAGTACGTTTGGACAGCGGGCTTGGCCCTTGAGGCATTTTCATGGAAGATGTACTGGGGAGAAGAAGGGGAGGTCATACGATCAATTGAAGCAAAATACGTCACTGAGTTCACTTATCCAACAATGAATATTAAGACCACGCTTCCCAAGTTCCTAATTGATGAGGCGCTTTAGAGAATGAAAAATGTGGAAAGGGCGGTACTCACTGCTCAATCAGTTCCTGAGATGGGTTTCGAGTTTAGGGCGTCAGATCTCATTTACTGTCTGTACTTAGAAATGGGGCCGAAGCTGGCAAAAGGGGACTTCTATAATATTCTATGTATAGTAAATGCGTATCTACGCATCTATCGTTTAGAAGATCGCTCAACCTATTCAATTTGGCGGAAGCTCTGCAAAGAAGTATGTATCGAGGAATTTCTAGATGATATTTCCTCTTTGTTCGGCATGGTTAGATGCTTTTGGCACGGGGCAGGGTGCTTCTGGATTAAATAAACCATTGAAAAAGGGAAATTTACATCATAAAGAAGTCATTCAGGTTAATGACATTGAGAGAAAAGTAAAGAAAACGTCAAATTACTAATGAAAGATGAGTCAATGGTCGCTTTGTGTACCTTGACAGGGTCTACAGTCTAGCAAGAAAAATGAAGAAAAGGAGAAAGATGAGCGACGACGAGGTCAATGGAGGGGGGCCGCCACAGATCACCGCGGCGAAAATCGTTAAGTTACTAGCGAGGCGAACAATAAAAAGGTCAAACTTGCCAAGAATTGATATTTTCCCGTTCAAAGGATAAAAAGTATCTCATTGGTTGGAGTTACTCGAGAAAATCTTCAACCAGTTAACTTCAACTGAGAAGTTTGCTCAGCTATATGAGTATGTATGGTGGGAATGTAAGTCGGATGTAGAAGAAGTTGTAAGAAAGGCCAACAATGATTGGGCAGAGTTTAAGAAGAACATGCAGAGAAAGTTTAAGTTAGGGGACGGCTTGCTCACGATCGAACACCTCTATAACATGAATAGAGACGACTTCACCACAATCGGGGTGTTTGCCAACGCCTTTGAAAAGACAGCCGAAAGGGTCCTAGGGTTGTCCGAAGAAATGCAATGCGTCATATTCCTGGGAAAATTCTTCGGGTATGAGGCCATGGAGCTGACTCGAGGAGGAGCATCGGGAAGGAAAACAACTTGGGAGACCATCTAGAGGAATATTGCGGCTGGGGACTTAGATCAAGTGTTTCATCACTAGGTTAAAGTCTAGCGAAGGAAGAGAAAGGCAGTAGGAGCTAAGGAACAGACAACGTGCTAGGAGGGGTATTGAGCAATATGGCGAACGAGATAAAAGAACTTAGGGAGAGGGTGTCATCGGCAAAGGTGTTAACAGTGACGCAGCCGTCAGGAAAAAGAAACAAGGAGGAAGAAGATGGGGAAGGCGAGGTCGACGAAGGGGATCCGAAGGAGGTGGTCAAGTTAACGAAGTGTCAAAGGAAAGCTAGGAATATAGCCATTAGAGGACAAGGCTCGGGTAAGGGATAAGTTACTCAACAGGCGATAGTCCAGTATGGACAAAAACCATCATCAAGTACGGCCCGATTTGGGCAATGGCCCATGGGTCCGCCAATGGAAGCATGGCCCGGATACTTCCCAATGGGGCCATGACCGATGCAGGGT